TCTTGGCCGGCTTCTCGACCTCCTTTGCAGCCTCCTCGGCGACGGCCCGCTCGGCGACGGGCGCCTCCTCGGCGACTGCCTCCGCGGCGGCGGACACCTCGGCGGCGGCGGACTTGGTGGCAGACTCCTCGGCGGCGGACTTGGTGGCGGCCTCCTCGGCGGCGGCGGACTTGGTGGCGGCCTCCTCGGCGGCGGACTTGGCGGCGGACTCCTCGGCGGCGGCGGACTTGGCGGCGGACTCCTCGGCGGCGGCGGACTTGGTGGCGGCCTCCTCGGCGGCGGCGGACTTGGTGGCGGACTCCTCGGCGGCGGCGGACTTGGCGGCGGACTCCTCGGCGGCGGCGGACTTGGTGGCGGACTCCTCGGCGGCGGCGGACTTGGTGGCGGACTTCTCGGCGGCGGACTTGGTGGCGCACTCCTCGGTGGCGGCGGACTTGGTAGCGGACTCCTCGGCGGCGGCGGACTTGGTGGCGGACTCCTCGGCGGCGGCGGACTTGGCGGCGGCCTCCTCGGCGGCGGCGGACTTGGCGGCGGACTTCTCGGCGGCGGCGGACTTGGCGGCGGACTCCTCGGCGGCGGCGGACTTGGTGGCGGACTTCTCGGCGGCGGCAGACTTGGTGGCGGACTCCTCGGCGGCGGCGGACTTGGTGGCGGACTCCTCGGCGGCGGCAGACTTGGCGGCGGCCTCCTCGGCGGCGGCGGACTTGGCGGCGGACTTCTCGGCGGCGGCGGACTTGGCGGCGGACTCCTCGGCGGCGGCGGACTTGGTGGCGGACTTCTCGGCGGCGGCAGACTTGGTGGCGGACTCCTCGGCGACGACGGCCTCCTCAGTGGCGGACTCCTCGGCGGCGGACTCCTCGGTGGCTGCCTCCTCGGACTCCCCCTCGGTGGCGGACTTGGCGGCTGCCTCCTCGGTGGTCGCCTTCTTGGTGGCCGCCTCCTCGGCGGTCGCCTCCTCGGTGGCCGACTCGGCGTCCTCCTCGGCGGCGGCGGACTTGGCGGCGAGCTCCTCGGCGGCGGCGGACTTGATGCCGCACGCCTGGGTGAGGGGAGAACACGCAAGTGTGCGGAGACAGGGAGACCGTAGAGATGATGACAATCCTGGCGTGCGCACACTCACCTCGGCTCCGAGGTGCGACGGCGGCGACGACAAGTAGATCTCGTCCACATCGCCGTCGGGCTTGGCCGTGTCCACTGCGGGCTTGGGCGCGGCCTTGACGTCGACCTTGACGCCACAAACCTGTGGGCGAGAGCGGACGCAGCTGTTCGGAGACGGGGAGATTGCACGGAATGTGCTCTTGGCGTGCGCACACTCACCTCGGCTCCGAGGAGCGAAGGCGACAGCGACGTGATGCCGACAGGAGCCGTCGGCGCAGACTCGGACGGGACGTCATTGCCGTTGCCGATGACGTCATTGAGCGACGCGGGCTCGCTCTTGGACGAGATGCCGTCGTGCTTGCCTCCGGCAGAGTCGATGACGGACAAGGGCGGCGACGGAAGTGGCGGGCACGAGGTTTTGTCGACGGTGAACGTGAGGCGCCGCGAGGTCTCGGCGCCGGCGAACGATGCGCCTACCGACGCCGCAAACACGACGCCGACGTACTCGAGCGAAGCGGGCTTGCCCTGCTCGGACGGGATGACGTCCTCGAGCGAAGCGGGCTTGCCCTCGGACGGGATGCCGGCGGCCTCGCCTCCGGCAGCGTTGACGGTCGTGTTGCCCGCCAGCGACGCCTGTGTCAGCCAGAAGGCCAGAGGATACGTCTTGCAGGTGGGAGCGCATTGTCACGTGCGCGAAAGCACAAGCCTGCTTGTCAGCAAGCGGCGGCGGCGGAGGAGAGAGCTTGAGCACGAGCTTGTCACCGGCGGCCGGCACCAGCTCGAGTTTGAGCTTCATGTTGATCGAGTTCCTGCAGCGCGCGGGGGTATGCACGCCAAAGAGAGTCAATAGATGCAGCTCATGGAGAAGGCTGTGTGACGGGTTCACGTGAAGGCTGTGTGAAGAACAACGTGTGGAAGTAAAGTGCTACTGGTTGGAGTTACTGGAGACTGTGCAGAGCACCACTATTATTACTGGTCACTGGAGACTGTGCAGAGCACTCCTATTATGACTGGGGACTGGAGACAGTGCAGAGCCACTAGACTGTGCAGAGCACCATTATTATTACTGATTACTGGAGACTGTGCAGAGCACTCCTATTATGACTGAGGACTGGAGCCTGTGCAGAGCACCATTATTCTTACTGATTACTGGAGACTGTGCAGAGCACTACTATTATTACTGGGGACTGGAGACTTGTGCGGAACACTCGGCGAACGGAGAGGTCAGCACCTACGGGATCATGACCATGTGAAAGAGGGTCAAAAACTGCTATGGAGATGTCCAGGGGGTATATGGGGTATATGGGGGTATATGGGGGTATATGGGGGTATATGGGGAGGAAGGAGAATATCTCGAGGAATCTCCGAGAATTGGATCAATCGTCGCATTCTCCACCCCGCCGCCCCCCTATTCTGGCCCTGCCTCGCTCGCCAATATTCGAGAACAGTGCACCAACGCTCCTTCCCCTCGCTCCCACGGGCTCACGCTTCGTGCTGTCGCTACTAGGTTCTTCGCATCTACCTGGAGTGGATAGCGTCTGCCGTCTCTCGCGCCGCTCGTTCCAGCTGCCACCTCGATGGCGCAGTCGCGCCGCTCTGACGCTAGACTCCCCAGGTCTTCGCTCCAGCGCTCGCTGCGCCAAGGAGCGCCAAGGAGCAACGGCGAGGCGGCGGCATCGCATCGGCCGACAGATTGCCGCCGTGACGCTCGGGGATCTCTCCCGCCATCACCTCCACCTCTCGCCGACGCCACGTTTGTTGCCACGCGATCGCCTCCGGCGCGCAGGGCCATCTCTCTCCGCGCAGGTCCGTCGCTCCCTGGCCCCGTTAGGGTTGGAGAGGGTGTCGTTAGGGTTAGGTCAGGGTTAGGTCAGGGTTAGGTTAGGGTTACGGGCCGAGGCGGAAGCGGAGGGAAGGTAAGGGTTAGGGTTAAGCTAGGGTTAGACGCCCCCCCCCACGGCTCGAAAGAAGGGCTCAAAAAACGATAAAAAAGGGGCCCACCCGCCAAAAAATCGCGCGCTGCGCGCGCATAAAGGAGAGAGAGAGAGGGAGAGTCATTACCGCCGCCGCAACCACA